CTCTTTTCCTGTTAGGGCCAGAAATGAGAGCACAGACGTCAGGTGCACGTGGGATCCAATCAGAGACATCAAATGAGGAGACAGTGGAGCCAGATAGGGATCGGTGGGATGATGAAGATTGGGGAAGCCTTGAGGTGAAAGATGGTTATTCGAATTATGTAAAGTCTCTGGTGTTTTTTCAGTGCTTGACATTTTATAGTGTTAAAAGTTATCTTACACATGAATACTGAAGAAATTTGAATAATTCCTTCTCTGTGCACCCACAGGACCCTGAAAAAGTCCAAACAGATCCAGACGATTGGCATTCTGATTGGTCGGCAATGTCATCAACACAGAAGAAAAGCAGTGTAAGTGATTTGCATTAGTGTAGCTTATCGAATAAAAGATCACTATTATCCTTCTTGATTTGTTCAGTGTTTGCTTTGTGCAAATGTTGAGGACGTATTTACAATATCCTTTCTTAAAATGACTAAATGGAAAAACTTGACAGGTTTTTTAACCATATTCGTTCTACAGTGGTTGTCTGAGATGGGATTTTCAATATATTTTATAAAAATATTTCAAAATATATAGAGAATATTGTACGTGCATTGCAATATAATGATCAAATGAGACAATTCTAGTCATTCAAATGTTACTTCACAAATAAATGATGTATTATCCTTTAACAAGGCTAAACTAATCTTGTCATGTTTCCATAGGTGGGCCGTAAGTCCTCTGAGGCAGTCAAGAAGCAGAGTTCTGATTGGAGCTCTGGCTGGGATGCCGATGACAGCTGGTCTAATGAGAAAGACGCAGATGGTCAGGGTCAAAGTTCACCTGCTGATGAGGGCTGGGGTAATGACTGGGATGAGGATGGAAGTCTGGCTGAGAGTTTCACCCCAACACCTCGAAGTATAGCCTCAACCGAAGCTCCAAAGAGTGGCAGATTAAGCTCTGCGCAGGAAGGGGTACGATTGGCCAGCGATTATAAATGGGATGGAGCGGAAGGAAAATCGGCAACATCCGATCTGTTGTCCAGTGTGTCACAACGAAGTACTACGGTAAGTTTCTGGTGGAGGTATTTCCTTTCATTGTAAATTGCTAAATGTTATAGTTCCCTCCCGGTGTATAATGTTTATGTGTTTTTTTTTGTCCACAGAAGTCTGATGGCTGGGACGCAGACTGTGCTGGAGACTGGGGAACAGAAGAAAACTGGGAGTCACTGGATGGAGATCAGGGTCAGAGACCAGTTTATGCACTTAAACCAGCGTATTAAAATGCAGATTCATTCTTGTGTTTAGAAAATATAGAAAGTGCATCTCAAATAACCATGCTTTCACTCCCTCAGGTTTAAGTAAAGCAGAATTAGCAAAGAAGAAACGAGAAGAGCGGCGGAAAGAGCTGGAGGCCAAACGGGCAGAGCGCAAGGCGGCAAAGGGTCCTCTCAAACTGGGCGCACGCAAACTGGACTGAGCACTGGAGGTATAACAGATCATTGACACTTTGAAGATGAAGGGACTGCGAGATTTTAAAGAAACATTCCATGATGTACGCTGGGCAACTTGGAAGAACTAAAATTCAGCCGTGTCTGCTGACTGAGGAACAGCTAACACACCTTAAACTATGATATTCCTTTACTCTCCCCACAGTACCATGATTTTTATAATACACAATATCATAGTTTACTGAGTGTGCATGAACTCACTGGTTTGATTATTAGGAGTCGAGGAAATTTGAATAATATAATCCTATATATCTGTGTATGGATGTACACTGATTATACATTAACTAAGGACCGCTTTGCCCTGAATGCGGTCTTTGAGGACATGAAAAAGGATGATGCAGAGAAAATCAAACATGTTAGCTGTTACTTAATCATGATCCTAGATGGAACAATGCCATTACTAGTGCATGTATAAACACAGATGAATATTTTCAAAACAAAGGATTCACTTGACCAAAAACCATTGTAACTCATGAAAGGCGTTTTGTTCTTTCTTTGTTTGCCATATGACGGGGTGAGGGTGGATGTGCTTGTTGGTTTGTGCCTTCTTTTGCGTTCCAAGTAAGCAGTACTGCTTATGTTGTAAAATAAACTAATCAACAGATGATTTTAGTTAATGAGACAGTCTGTGAAATCTGGTGCAATATTTTCAGAAGGGGTAATTAATGTACTGTACACACAGATGTAAAATCCATCTTCATATGTATTATAATAAAGAGGAGCAGTCTGTCTTTGGAAATGTGCTATACAGAATCATGTTGCTCAATTGCTATGTTTCACAGAACTGACTCCAGCAAATGGTAACAAAGGTCTCATTGAACTGCCAGAAACACAGTGTTGCCTTCTAAAAATATATAACAGAAGAAGTGGTGAGATTTATTTTCTACAGTCATCAAAAATCTAGAAATTTCAAGGAATTTTATATTATAATTCCCAGGCCTAAAAAACACTGGTAGTGTTCAACTCTAAAATATTTAATTAGCTGAATTGTCTATACAATATTTTCTATATAAAATCTAAAAAAAAAATAGGTTAAAAGGTTTAGTATAACCCTGTGATTAAAATTGAAACAATTTAGGGTTGAAATGCATTACTGGCTTATGAACATAACTCCGGAAGAAAGGTTTCTTAAATTCAAAGTACTGGACAGTAAGACTAATGTATTTATTTCAATCTCATTTCCTTATCTTTGGCCAGCGCTATATTTGTACATTTTTATTTAAGGAGTGGTGGCAAATCCAACAGCCATAGATGATGTCACAGATTATAATTGCACAGTATGGTAATTATGTTATCTTTCATTAATGTTGTTTACTTTCATTATGTAGTTGACCCTTGTCTTAATGGATATGAGTGCGGTGTCAATTTTGTTTGATCCCATTCACATTCAAGTGCCTCACCATTACCTTGATGATTACTTTTTTTCCTAAAGAGAATAATCAAAATGACATTTTGTGGTAATCAACATGCCACAAAATGAGTTTAACCTTAACCATTAAAGGGGTCATATGATGCTGCTAAAAAGAACATTATTTTGTGTATTTGGTGTAATGAAATGTTTATGCGGTTTAAGGTTCAAAAAACACATTATTTTCCACATACTGTACATTATTGTTTCTCCTCTATGCTCCGCCTTTCTGAAACGCGTCGATTTTTACAAAGCTCATCGGTCTGAAAAGCGAGGTGTTCTCTGATTGGCCAGCTATCCAGTGCGTTGTGATTAGCCGAATACCTCAAGCGTGTGACGGAAATGTTACGCCCCATACCACATTGTGATGATGCCCTGTCAGGCCGGAGCGACAAGACAAAAACAATAAAACCCATTATAAACGAGGCATTTGTTGCATCCAGTGGGGATGGATTATGTCATGTACTGTCTCTTTACGCATTGCATCGCGCCGCGTGAACATAAAACCATGTCTGAATTTATGATCGGAGAAACGACAAACAACAAGCGCTACTCTACACTGCTCAAAACTCGCGTTTGAATCATCAGTGGCAAATTCTTTAATATAAAAAACGTACTTACAGTTAGCGAGTCAGAACAGCCGGCATTGTAGTCTACTCTTCCAGGATCAGGAAACAGTCCTCCATAAAATGTGCTGCACACATCTGAATATTTGGGTTGAACTGTTCTGGAACAGTGTTGTAAATACAACTTAACCACTGATTTCTAGTTGTGTCCTCTTTTGGAAGACCAAACAAAGTAGTTTCGCTTTCAGGCCGATGGCCTAGAATGAGCCACGGCCGGCGGATTCGACGAAGGAGCGTCCGGCGGGTTTGCGGCAACCACATGTGACGACCCCGGGCTGGACTCCGCTTTGTCCACGGTGAAAGCCGATCCGGTGATCCACAGCGCGAAGTTGATGTATTTCCTCAGCGACCAGCACGGATCAGCTCCAGGCATGACGAAGCAGATATCGCCCTCTTTTGGAAGGCCAAACAAAAAGGCTTTCACAACGAAACACACAGAACACAAACGCACAGCGCCTTCACGACATGGTGGCGGCGGCAACAATACTACAGCGAGAATAAAAGTTATGCCTTCTTTCTTTGTGTAAACATTTGGGCGGTGTTATGCAAATCTTCCCACATCGTGACGTAGATATGTGGGGGCATGTTAGAACAAGCCGTTTTAGGTAGGCGTGGTTGACTCTTAACTTTTATAAAGAATATCTCTTTGGATTTGAGACTTTAGTCTTTGCAACTTTACAGATCTTCTTTATGCACCAAGAGCTTGTAACACTTCAAAGAGAAAGGAAAAATTGAAATCGCATCATGTGACCCCTTTAATGAGAAATTCATTTGATCCATTAGAGGTATTTAACACACTAGGCTTGTTTGAGATTAGCATATTCTGCGCAGAATTGATCACCGGTGATCACCGCGAGATGCATGCCGGTTAGAAAAGTGTCCGACTTGCTCTGTCATGCTGACGTGTGCAACCAAACTCGGTCCTGGAGGGCCGGTGTCCTGCAGAGTTTAGCTCCAACCCCAATTAAACACCTGAACCTGCTAATCAAGCTCTTATAGGCATACTAGAAACTTCCTCCTCCCCTCACTGCAGCCGCCTACTCTCACCAACATTTCAGGCAAGGCGAGGTGCATCTCAAACAAGCCTAATGTCTCTGATGTTGTTGTCCAATTGCTATGCTTCCCACTGCTTTGCTGTCAGAAGAATTTAGTCCAGCAAATGGTAACAAAGGTCCCATTGAGCTGATGTAAGGCAGGCCAGCTATGCAGAAACCTTCCGATTTTCTTGTGTAAATGATAATCTTGCACCATGGAACAAGAAAATTAATTTAACAAGTAACATCTACGACAGGGGTGCCCAAACTCGGTCCTGGAGGGCCGGTGT